AGCTTACCTTTGAACTCATGGGAGGGAGGGAGGGAGGGCTGGAGTTAAAGCCAACACTCCAGACCCTGTTTACCAGATCCGCCTTGCTACTCTTGTCCTGTCCTTCAAACATTTACAGCAATCAGTTCGTTTCAAAAAGTCCGGGCTTGAATACACGCCAATTCTTATGTATGGCCCCAGGGGAAAAGGCATTATTGGGTTTGCCGTCCTGTCCCCCCCCCCCCCCCCTTCTATTCACATTTTTCTCTTTCTTCAACCCGTCGCAGGGTAGCAAAGTTGACCCCAGTACATGATGGTCTCACAGTAACTGTCTTTAGTCCTCCCAGTAGCTGTCTTTTTTTTTCTCAGTAGCTGTCTTGTCCTCTCAATAGTTTTTTGTCCTCGGTAGCTCTCTTTTGTCCTCTCGATAGCTGTCTTTTACCCTCTCGGTAACTGTCTTTTGTCCTCGCTGTAGCTGTCTTTTGTCCTCGCTGTACTTGTCATTTGTCCTCTCAGTAGCTGTCATTTGTCCTGTTGTGATATGTTTGTTCCTCTGATTGGCAGCGAACCCAGCCTATTCAAATAGATCTTGTCAGCCAGTGAACACAACATGCCTGCTATTTTACTATCTACACCTACGACTTTTTCTTTATCAACATGTTTTAAATAATGTATTCACAGTTGATTGAAGACATGAATTATTAATGGTTGTTAAAGTTATCGCTGCGAACCAATGCAAACAAGCGTTTCTTGCAGCGGTGTTTACATTTAGCCAGAGCGCTCGATACAACAGTGTTGTCTAGCCTAGCTGCCGGGCGGCCCGCTGAAATAGCGGATTGACCTACCGGCACCATCAGCTAGTGGTGGAGCAGTCTGGGACGGGTGGGGGTGTCAACCAGCTGGTAACTCATATCGGGGTCTTGGTACGTCAATATTCTTTGTGTACAACTGGTCGGGGGGAGATCCCAAGGAAATCGTTAGTTCTCGTGGCTGCGACAAAGCACTCGGTGGGGCGTTATTCTACTTGAACTCTATGAATCTCCATTCTAAACATACCGACTTGCCCCTCTCACACGTCTCGTCCTCACATTTCACGCGGGAAAAGGGGCGAGCTTTCGCTTTGATATGTGACCGCCGGTAACCACACCAGCACACATGATAAGATAGAGGACTAAGTAGGCAGGACAGACAGTGGTAGCGGGTGTCTGTAGCCAGCGACTGTGTGGCCGCAGGCTGGGCCAGTGTGTGCGTGCACCGCCACGGCGAGGGAGTCTAGCCTACTTGCGGTTTCATAGCTCACTTGGAGGGCCGGCCGCCGCGAGATCTTTGCTCTACCGTCGTATGGATTATTTTTTCCCGTGTTCTTTGTGTGTCACACACACGCTCGCGTGACTCATCCGCACGGTGTGTCTGTGTGTGCATCTACTGTGTTACGTGCTTGTTCGTCTAGAGGATATCGCCTGGCGCTGGAGTAGTGTTGTATTACTTCATCACTGGATTACTTTCATGACTTTATGATTTTTGCTGGTGATATTTCTGCTTGCTGACAGTGGGATTACCATACACATTGGATATTGGAGTAGGCTGTGGACACCAGGAAGTGGCGGCTGACATATTCTTGTGTTTAGGTTTGGTGATTTACGCTTGTTGTTATTATTTTCACTGTCATCAACAAATAGGGACGTGTTGTACAGCTGGTATCGTCCTTGTATTTTGTTTTTATTTTCTAGAGACTTAATTCTGGACAATAGGGCCTAGTTGCTTTGTGATTAATGGATTATGTTCTTCAACATAGCTCTTATTAATTATAGATTCTAGTATGGGTTATAGATTCTAGTTATAGATCTAGACATTTTCTAGATTCTAGATCTATATTTTTTAATAATTTAGAGTGAAACATGATCTGATTTCGATTTATTTTTTATTAGTATGCGTTTTCCCGTCTGCTGTTAGTGATGCAACATTTAGCTATTTAATTGATATGAATATCGTTATCACTCAAAGACACTCAAAGTGTATTTTTAGGACACAACCAAATTGATCTCTCCACCCCCTCCACCAAAACTAACGGGCTTAGAAGCTGCTAGTGTCATACATGATACACCGACACGTCACGATCTACCCCTGTAGGTGAAGCCTAGTGTAACTCATTGACCGGGGGTGGGGTGGAAGATGACAGGTATTCGTGACTCTATCAAACTCTTCATATAACTTACTCTACCGATCGTTTCAAGTACGCTTCTGGATCTATTAATAGCAGCACCTAGCCTGACTTGTCGAGTAGAGCACAATGCTAATTTTATAGTCCATTTACACGCTAGAAGGATTATAGCGTCTCTCCATTTGGTTGGTGAGATCTTTGTTGGTGTCAAGGTGGATTAGCCAGGGCGGCTGTACAAGCCGTTAGTGGCTTAACGGCACACACACACCGTCTGGCTTACTTTTTTTTTGCAGGCGGGCTTTGTGCTACCGGCACAGGCGGCTTCACCCCCCCTCCCCCCTTTTTAAAATAAATCTTTTCTACAACTCGTGATACAAACGTAGTAAAGCAGGCGAGAGATAAGGAAATATTATTTCGACGTGTGGTAGGTAAGATGGGAGAAATGGGGTTAGAGTAGCAGTAACAGAGGTGTTAGTTTATAAGGACCTGTGTACTAGGTTGACTTGGTCCAACTTGGCTGGTACACATACCGTGGTAAAACGTCGCCGTGATGTGAGGCTAGTTTTATGTCATCGCGACACCAACCTCAACGCTGTCCTTAGTTCTGGTTCTCATGGCTAAACATAGCCGGAATCATTTAAAAAACAAAAACGGCGATTATGTCGGGGGTGGGGAGGCGGGACGGGACGGGGGAAATACAACCTTAATACTTTGTTGTCGTAACGGCGTTGTAACAAGAACCCATGCTCTAAGATACGGTGATCTTTTTTTTTAAACATTTGAAGTCATATTTTATTTTTTACCATTTTTATAAAAGAAAATTGATTTTTAAAAACAGATTATTAAAATTCTGTTTTCCGTTTGAAGATTATTTTTTTTTAAAGCTGGTATTTTTATATTAGTTTCATGACATTTGATAAGCAGTGGCATTTTAAAATTTAAATTGTAAATGTGTGTGTGGTGTTAGGAGCTGTGGTGTTAGAGCCCTCTAGCTCTGTGTCACGTGACACTGATGTATTGAAGCCCAGAGAAACACTTGTACCGTTGTAGAAATGTTGAGATAGCATCAGTACAATGCATGACTAGACCTTCCTCTATCATCCACCCACCTCTCAGTGGTCGGGCTCCACCCTCATACACTCGACAGTATTAGCGCAGTACCCCTGTGTGTGAGTGGCCTAAAGCACCACTTGATGCCCGCTGGAGAGGACTCGAGTGCTTAGTATCGGGAGTAGAAAAATAATTAATTTTTTTTTAACCTTTCTCCTGATAAGAGCCGAAGCGTAGCTCTCCCCTCCCCCCGTCCCTCTTCTCCCCCCTCCCCTCACACTTCTCCCCGAGACTAGAGCACTTGAGCCTTCTATCGTGTCTTCTTCAAAGCCCCTTCTATCTCACATAAGTAGAGCACAGCCTTGAGTGGACCCTTCAGCACAGAGGGACTCGAGAGCTGGTAAAGATTCCACTCGTGGCTGCAGAAAATAAATAGTCATAGGCCAGACTATTTTTATAGCGGTGCTCAATGAAACTTGAGACCGTGCCATAGCTTGTTGTAAGCACAAAGAGGCCATGTTTAGTGTATACCGCTCTATAGTCCCCTGTATGCATAGTTTTATCTTGTATACAATGTAAAAACAAAGCGTTATACAATGGTAAAAGGGGTTTTATATCATGAAAAAAGTGGAAGTCTGGCTGTTTAAAAAAAAGGGGTTGCCTGGTAGTCAGGGCCTGTTGACAGAGATTAAAGTTGACAATAGGGACTTGACTAACAAAGGAGGTCAAGCTTTGGACCTGTACAAACAATGGCTTGACCCGCAGGTCACACCAGCCTCCACACAAAGACACGCACTGACTAGCACTGACTAACTCTGTCAACGCTCCCGCTGGGATTTGTGATCAACATACAGCGCCAATGGCTACTTCCTTTTTTTTCAACATACAGCTCTGCTCCTCTTTTATCAACATACAGCCCTTTTCCCAAATTTTTATCAACATACAGCCCTATTCTTTTTTATCAACATACAGCCCTGTTCCCATTTTTTATCAACATACAGCCCTGTTCTTTTTTATCAACATACAGCCCTGTTCCCATTTTCTATCAACATACAGCCCTGTTCTTTTTTATCAACATACAGCCCTGTTCTTTTTTATCAACATACAGCCCTGTTCCCATTTTTTATCAACATACAGCCCTGTTCTTTTTTATCAACATACAGCCCTCTCTTTAACTTCCTCTTACCACAGTCCTGATCATGTTTGTATCATGATACAACCCTGTTCTCACCTTTCAATCCATACACAACTATTTCCTCACTTAAAAAAAAATAACATACAGCCCTGTTTGTTACTTCTATTTAAACATCTCCCAGCCCCTGTTCCCATCATGATCCACCCCCATTCTCACCTTGCTATCAAACTACAGCCCTGTCAACAAACAGCCCTGTTTGATGACTTGACCTAACACAGTGTGACTGAGCCATGTCTACATATCTAAGGCTGGAGCCATTGTTTTCTTACCCCCACTTGTCCTGACACGAGGGCCCCACTTGAAGTAGTACCAGATACTTGAGTCACTTGATTTATTTTTACAACACTCCTATCTATTGTTATTACTCTCTGAAATAACTGCCATGTTTTCCTGTTGTTTTAACTTGGGCGTTGTCACTTTATGCTGTGTGGATGTCACTAAGTTTATTGTCTGGCAAAGTTGTAGTGCCAGTAATCTTGTCACTTTATGTTGTAAATTTCACTAAGTTTAATGTCTAGCAAAGTTGTAGTGCAAGTAATGATTGAATGATGAGCTACTTGACTTGAGTTACATTGTGAAACATTAAACTCATGTTTTTTTTTGTTTGGTTTTCAGGCATCAGAATCCGGGTCTGACCTTTATTCTGGTATACCTTCAGGAGGGATTTTAAATGGTAAGAAAACAAAACTTTGAAATCTCATGTTTTAGCAGTACTTAGCTTGTTACTTGAAGATGTAACTCTACTGAAGACATGTGTATTAACTGTGTCTGGTTTTGTTTCAGATCTACCAAGCAATGGTATCAGCAACCCTTGTGTGGCACTGACAGCCCCAACACCTCCACCATCAACCTCATCCACCCCGACGTCCCTGTGTTCACCCTCGCCTGTACACCAAGTACTTGTAGCCAGCACCACCACAACCACCACCACCACCACCAGCAGCACCAGCCGGCCTGGTCTCAACGACTCACTCACAGCTTTAACTGCTGTCACAACCGCCACCCTATCCTCTGTGATACACTCGGCACAATCTGTGCCAGAGCGCTCGGCCACCAAACCGCCTCAGAACCATTTAAAAAGGTCGTTATCCCCCAGCTCTCAACAGCAACATGTAGGGGATAATTCAAGTTGTGCTAGATCCATTCAGTATTCCAAGGCTCTCAAAGCCAGTTCTGCTCACTCCAGTGCTAACAAAGGATTATCTCACAGCCACCACCAGCCCTCTTCTGATAATCCCCTGCAAAATGGGCCAGGTAACTTGATCCAAGCGCCGCCTGCCCAGCCTCACCTGAACAATCACTTCCCGTACCCCAGCCCGGGCGCCAGCTACCCATCGCCGTATCCACTTTACTCACCTCTTCGTCCGGATCCACGTCCAGTGGCTTTAGGAAGCAGCCCCCGGCCTGACCAAAGATGTAACAGCTTAACTCCGCTGAGTAACGGCACCCCAGTGACCACAACTCCCAGCCACCTGGGTAGGTCTGACCAGAACTCTAGCGGGCACTCGTCCCCTGGGTACCAGCACAAGACTCCGCCTACACCCTCATGGACTAATGACCCCAGGCAGAAGTTCACGCCTCCCCTACCCCCCAAATCTCAGAGCTGTAAGCCTGAGCAGTTGACATTCAGTGCCAGCAGCCTGGTCAAAGATTCTGATAAGGATAAAATTAAACACAAGGACAGCAGTGGACATCATCTCCACCACAGTCATCACCACCATCATTCTAAGGACAGAGAGAAGGAGAGAGAAAAACAGAGGACTCCGGTCAGCTCTTCATCCCTAACCTGCCCCACCTATCCAACTGCCAAACCCACCTGGCCAAGGTAAGTCTTCTGGCAATAGAATTTTAAATTATACATAATGATCAGTTCATGTATGCTGTTTATTGTATTGTGTACTTGTGTTTGTATTGTATACATGTTGTGTTTTGTATTGTGTACATGCTGTGTTTATTGTCTACATGCTGTTTGTTTTGTGTACATGCTGTATTCATATTGTACATGATGTGTTTGTATTGTGTACATAATGTGTATATTATTATATTCTGTGTACTGTGCACAAATTGTATTGTGCACAGGCTGTTCTTGTATTGTGTACAAGCTATGGTTGTGTACAAATTGTGTATTATGTGCATTTTGTGTTTGTAGTGTGTACAAGATGTGTATTTATTGTTTACATTATTTGAATTTTATTTTTGTACAAGATGTGTATTGCACTGTGTACATTCTGATTGTATTGTATAAGTATATGTGTTGTGTAGTGTGCACATGATTAGCAGTGTATTGTGTACATATGCATTGTAGTGATTATGTTCAGTGTATTGTATTGTGTATGTGCTGTGTATTGTAGTGTAAACACTGTATTGTATCTTCAGTATATTGTATTGTGTTCATATGTATTGTAGTGATTATGTACTGTGTATTGTATTGTATTGTGTACATATGTATAGTATTGTGAATGTGCTGTGTATTGTAATATGTACATGCTGTGTAGTGTGTATGTGCTGTGTTGTAAATGCTGTGTAGTATGTACGTGCTGTGTAATGTGTGTATGTGATGTGTATGTGATGTGTAGTGTGTACATGCTGTGTAATGTGTGTACGTGCTGTGTAATGTGTGGACGTGCTGTGTAGTGTGTATGTGCTGTGTAATGTGTGTAGGTGCTGTATTATTGACCCCTACATCTGGTCTCTTTCAGCAGCCAGGTGTACAGCCCCCTCCTACACCACCACAGCCCCTTGACACCAGCTCCACCCCAGTCCAGTCCATTATTCCCCCTCCCCTTGGCCCCACCACCCCCTCTTTTGGCAGCAGGACCATCTAGTCTGTCAGCAGGGATGTTTGCTCCCCCCATACCCCCTGCACCCCCCACCTTATCATCAGCACCCCTGCCAACCCACCCCACAGCTTCCAGTCAGTTTTCTGCTGAGAGTTTGATTAGAAGTGAGTAGACAACTGTCACACATTTTTTAACACATCTTTGGCCTCATAAACCTGATTAAAAACTCTTGGCTTACCAGTAGTATATCATAGTGAATTTAAGGGCTCAATTCTATAATAATGACATTTTGTTTGTAGATTTTGATCATTGATTACAAATGCCAATATATCAATATGGTAATATGATTAGATTTAAAACTCTTAATTAAGCTTAGTCCATCTTTAGCTGTAGCAGTTAATGTGACCACAGTCCATCTTTAGCTGTAGCAGTTAATGTGACCACAGTTCATCTTTAGCTGTAGCAGTTAATGTGACCACAGTCCATCTTTAGCTGTAGCAGTTAATGTGACCACAGTCCATCTTTAGCTGTAGCAGTTAATGTGACCACAGTTCATCTTTAGCTGTAGCAGTTAATGTGACCACAGTCCATCTTTAGCTGTAGCAGTTAATGTGACCACAGTCCATCTTTAGCTGTAGCAGTTAATGTGACCATAACCTGTATATAAAAAGAAATGTGATAGAGGTTCTCACTATGCCAGCTATTTGTTATTTCAGGTCCAGATTTCTTGCATCAAGATCTGAACAACCGCCTGTTGGCCCACAGAGAATCCAGCTCTATAGCTCTACCACCTACCCAGTTTGTGCGTAGTGAGACCCATCAGCATCAACACCAGCACCAACACCTACACAACCACATGCATCAACATACATATGGGGGCCTCAGTGCCTCGCCTCTGGTTCCCCCAGGACCTCCTTTAGTAAGTCACATGATATTTCTAGAGACCCTTCACATGTCAACAATGTGTCACAACTCTGAGCTGCATCCTAGGCTGTGTTGAGATAAATCTGGAAAATGTATTTTTTTAAAATGTCCGTTTTAAAGAAGAATCTGTCAAATGTTGATAGTGTTTGATTGTTTGGTGTAAACTTCAGTAGGGTTCAGCAACTAGATTAAAATTGGGAGTGTTTTAAAATGTACTCATCCAGTACAGGGGCAAATTGACTCAAAGTTGAGTTTCAATGTGGGAACAGTCTTTTTTGTTAGTGTTTCAGTTTGTGTTTCAGTTGAACACACAAGGCTAGGTTAGCACATGAAGAATAGAATCAGTGGTAAAGCCAAACCTGTCTGTACACATTTCTGTTGGGTGCTACCAAACCTGTGTACATACTTCTGTTGGGTGGTACCAAACCTGTAGCAAGCCTGTGTACACAATTCTGTTGGGTGCTACCAAACCTGTGGCAAGTCTTGTGTACACACTTCTGTTGGGTTGCTATCAAACCTGTGGCAAGCCAACTTCTGTTGGGTGCTACCAAGTCTGTGTACACATTTGTGTTGGGTGCTATCATAGCTGAGATGTACACATTTCTGTTGGGTGCTACCAAACCTGTGGCAAGTCTTGTGTACACACTTGTGTTGGGTGCTGCCAGTTGCTATCTCCCAGCACTTGAGATTAAGGGCAGGTAATAGCTTGCTATTTATTGCCTGGCTCTCAGGGGGGAGAATAAACAAGACACCACTGCATTCAAAGAATGGTGATAAGCGAGGGAGGGGGGATGTATAATCCACCATCTTGTATTACCTGAGGCAGAGATTAGCAGGTTGGTTTGTGAGACCCATATGAAAATAATATGTTGTTTATGCGACTGGTTTGGCACATAGGGGCATGCAGGCAGATAGGGGCTAACAAAGAGAGCCCTTGAAGATATGGGCTGCGTATTATCACACTGTATTCTATGTGAGATGTTGAACCTGAGCAGGCCCTTGTCTTTATTGGACTTGCAAATCATCTATTGTGATTTGTGTGTTGTTTGGTTAAGTGGGTTCCCGTCTACCTGCACTATTGACATGCAGGGCTGGTAGATGATTGACTTAGTACAGGATGTAGATGGATCTAAGTCTAGTTGTGTGGTTACTGTTGGGTCTGGTCTGAGTTCCCTAGTGTTGTACATCACAGAGTCTGATCCTGCTCTCTGTTTGATGTTGACATTTTGTTTTCTTTCAGTTTGAAAAAATGCCAAAAATGTTTGAGACAGCAGTTTTTAGGCCAAGTGTAAGTAGACTTTTTATTTTGTTATATAACTTTGAGCTTGATGGGATGTTTTAGGTTTTGTGTAACGTGCCAGTAATAGAGAACACCTTGTGTGAGATTAACATTTGTGTGTACTTAGTACAAATTACAAGTTATTCTAACATGATGGGATGTTTTGGGTTTTGTGTAATGTGCCAGTAATAGAGAACACCTTGTGTGAGATTTGTTAACATTTGTATTTACTTAGTACAAGTTATTCTAACATGATGGGAGAACACCTTGTGTGAGATAGTTAACATTTGTGTGTACTCAAGATAAATTATTCTAATGATTTAATACTGCTTTAAGTTTATTGTGGTAACTATACCAGCTGTCTAACACAAAAGTTGGGTTTGTTTTGGTGGTTATTCTATTCAGTGGAACATTGTATGAGTTTGTCTCTAAGCTAAAGGCCTGTTCTATGTGACACTGAATAGGTCCCTATGCTTGTATAAGTTATACCAGCTATGTGGCACTGAATAGGTCCCTAAGCTTGTATGGTATACAAGCTATGTGATACTGAATAGGTCCCAAAGCTAAAGGCTTGTTATAGTTATACCTGCTATGTTATACTGAATAGGTCCCAAAGTTAAAGGCTTGTTCTAGTTATACCAGCTATGTGGCACTGAATAGGTCCCTAAGCTTTTATGTTATACCAGCTATGTGATACTGAATAGGCCCCAAAGCTAAAGGCTTCTTATAGTTATACCAGCTATGGGACACTGAATAGGTCCCTAAGCTTGTATGTTATACCAGCTATGTGATACTGAATAGGACCCAAAGCTAAAGGCTTGTTATAGTTATACCAGCTGTGTGACACTGAATAGGTCCCTATGCTTAAGGTTTGTTCTAGTTATACCAGTTATGTGACACTAAATAGGTCCCTTAGCTTGTATAAGTTGTACCAGCTATGTGGCACTGAATAGGTCCCTATGCTTAAAGTTTGTATAAGATATACCAGCTATGTGGCACTGAATAGGTCCCTATGCTTAAAGTTTGTATAAGTTATACCAGTTATGTGGCACTGAATAGGTCCCTAAGCCCAAGGTTTTGATCCCCAGATTGTACCAAGCTACAGCTCCTTTAGCTCCCTTCTTCCACCTGGACCATCAGGCTCCACTATAGCATCCAGTCTCCAAGGGGCATTCCAACCTAAGGTCAGTCAGTGCTTGTACACAATCAGCCTTAATTGCTCTAATTAGTTTACCTACCACCTCATCTGTATTATCTCTTAAGTTATCATCATTTACACTCATCAGTAGATTACTTTAGCTAAACTTTTTTTTTTTCAAGTTTGCTGTTTCATCCATTAACACATTAACCCCCCCCCCCCCCCCCAGTCAGTGTAACACATTTTATTGTTCCTCTGCTTTGTGTGATTCCTCGCTGCTTATATAAAAGCTTAGAACTACTCAGCTAGCCTCCCCTCCTTTCATTCTGCCATTAAAGCTATACAAGTAGACTAGGCTTGTTTAAAAACCTGCGCGGGAGAGGAATTTGGCCAATGTACACAGGGAAATGGGAGTAATGAAAGGAACATTTGGCACCCATATTGGTGCCACAGTCTAGGTAGAGGTTTGGTGTTTCTAGATGTCAGGTGGCTGTGGTGTGCAGCTGGTATCTGTTAGAGCAGTGCTAGGTTTGTTAGTACTAGAGGTGCACTAATTCATTTTTTGTCTAGTGCAATTTTAGCAATGTGCACTAATCCATTTTTTGTCTTGTGCAGTTTTAGCAATGTGCACTATTCCATTTTTTGTCTAGTGCACGACACCATTTTAGTATATTGCACCTACCTTTTAGCCTAGTGAACACCGCCTTTCTAGCCTAGTGCACACCTCCCTTTTAGCCTAGTGCACATCACCCTTTTAGCCTAGTGCACATCACCCTTTTAGCCTAGTGAACACCACCCTTTTAGCCTAGTGCACGCCAGTTTTAGCCTAGTGCACACCACCCCTTTAGCCTAGTGCACACCACCACCTTTAGCCTAGTGCACACAACCCTTTTAGCCTAGTGCACACAACCCTTTAGCCTAGTGCACACCACCCTTTTAGCCTAGTGCACACACCAGTTTTAGCCTAGTGCACACACCCCTTTTAGACTAGTGCACACAACCCTTTAGCCTAGTGCACACCACCCCTTTAGCCTAGTGCACACCACCCCTTTAGCCTAGTGCACACCACCCCTTTAGCCTAGTGCACACCACCCCTTTAGCCTAGTGCACACCACCCTTTAGCCTAGTGCACGCCAGCCATTTAGCCTAGTGCACACCACCCTTTTAGCCTAGTGCACACAACCCCTATTTAGCCTAGTGCACGCCAGCCTTTTAGCCTAGTGCACACCACCCTTTAGCCTAGTGCACACCACCATTTAGCCTAGTGCACACAACCCCTATTTAGCCTAGTGCACACATCGTTTAACCAACGAAGCAAACCGGAAATGTGGAAGCTTTGATTACAAATTGACAATATCGGCCAGTATTGATGATTTGTTTAATGCCTAATACGGTAAAGGGGAAAAACTACAATTAAATAAAGAACGACTACTCTGGGGGGAAATGGTTCAATTTAAAAGCCCAAGTGGACAAAAGCTAATTAAAGAAGGGAGATAAATCCCAAATTGACGTGGACGCAATGAGAAAATGGTTTGATAAAACGATTTAACTTAATAACGTTTTTTCCCCCCTCCGGCATTTCTTCCTCGATTCATTTTCTTGGTTCCGCTCCCAGTTTGTTTTCATTTTCCTATGTCTGTTGTCCGCGGTGCCTGGCGTTAACTGAATCCATTTGTTGCCCGCGCTCCGGCCCTGTGGATGACAATCAGGACGGGGTTTGTGGCGCGATAATGAGGAGAAATTGAATTGAGTTTCAAAGCTTTGTGGCGTTAATGGCAGAATGAAATTAAAATCCGGGCTGTGGAGAACTATGATTACAGGGAGGATTACTCTCCTCCTCCCTCCCCACCTCTCTTATCTCCCCTACCCACCTCACAGCTATGTTGTAGAATCTTACCACTCTAACATTTTTTAGCCAGCCTCACTCCCCCCCCCCCCTCCTCCGCCCGCCTGTATTCACATGTAGCTGGTTAAAATGTTTGAAGTACTCTCGGCTCTCTGCAGCCTGGGACTGACAATAGATTAGAGGTTTTATCTTTGTTCACGTGATGGTGATTTGAGGGGGGTGGGGGGAAATCACAGGGTAGGAAGAGGGTTCTTATGTTGTTGGTTAGATGTCATGTCATGAGTTCGTTTGATGTCATGTTTGTTTAAAGATGTCATGTCTGTTTAAAGATGTCATGTTTGTTTAAAGATGTCGTGTTTCCCCTGTTGTCATTAATTATATGTGCCATTATGTCAAGTTTTGTTACATGTTAAGCTTTTTGGGATGTCATGTCCTAAAATGACATACTTAGATGTCATGTTCTGACATGTCGTTCTTGTCATGTCATCAGATGTCATGTGTTGCCACCCCCCCCCCCCCCCCTGTACCTGGCCTGTATACAGCTGTATAGTTTAGCTGCTTGATTGCCCTAGTTAGCTGCAGCATTGCTTTACTCCCCCATGCTAATGTCTTGTCCCTGTTCCAGAGCTTGGTGACCCCTGGACAGATGCTCGTGCCATTCCGTGACAGAGAGAAAGCTGTTCCTCCTCCTCCCACGCCAAAAGTTAGTCCACACTTGTAGCCTGGTGTTACATGTTTTTTTTTCTATTTACTCTCACACTTCACTGTAATACATGGCTACCACTGTAGGCTACATGTAGCAACACTGTCAAATATGTAGCCTTCAAGAAGCAAGACTAGCCCCTTACAACTGTAACTACCTTTGCTACATGTAGCTAGACTGTCACTGCTAAAATATACCATGTAGCTTTCTGCAAACAAGACAAGTCTCTTACAAACATGACTGCAGCCTTTCAATATGACTAGCACTACATACAACATGTAGCCTTCAACAAACTAGCTTTCAACATGACTAGCCTCTTACAAACATGACTAGCTTCTGACTAGCCTACCAGACATGGCTACCAGAGCATGTAACATGTAGCCACCAAGAAACAAGCCTGCAGCACCTGCTACATGTAGCCTTAGGTTCCCCCAGAATGACATAGTTGTCCCCCATTTACCTGCTCCATAAAAACACCTGCCAAGTTTTTAGGCTGATGAACCTGATGTTGGTCATGTCACACTGACACTCTCCCCAGCTGTGTACTGGTTGACCCCCACCCAGTCTTTACAGGACCAGGTGATCCTCCTTCAGGGGAGGGGGGAGAGAATTTGATGCCCCCCCCCCCCCCCCACAGGCAGGGGGGCACAACCCTCCCACTGTGGAGCACTTGCTACATTCCAGCTGGAGCTATTTCTAGATTTCCTTGATGTCAACTTTGACCTTTAACATGAAGTCATGTGACTGAGTGCTGTGCTCTCCTTCCCCCACCCCCCCCCCCCCCCCCACTCCTGTGTGCTTGTCCCATACCTAGCATAACCTTTTGCTTCTTAGCTTAAACTAATTCATTTTGCTAGTTGTAGCTGAGAGTATTCATTTATCATCACAAGTCATCAGTTGTACACAGCATCATTTATTTGTTTGTTCTTAGACTTTGTCACAAACACTAGCCATGTGGCATTGATATAGTGCCTGGAGAAATGTTAGCATACAGGCAGAGAGTGAAATTTACTACAGTAAGATTTCACAGTGAGATACTGTTTAGTTGTACTCTTTAGTTTATTAAAGGTACATCTATGAACTTGTAATGGGCCCCATTTGTGGCTGTTCTACTTGAATTCATTTACAAGTACTGTAGAGTAACTTCACAAAAACATATGTTTATAAAAGTATGTCTCTTTAAGGAAAATGTTTTGACAAATTATGAGTGTTATGATATAACTATATACAGAAGTAAGGCTTGATAGGAAATTGAATTGACAAATTTTAGGTGAAGTTGGATAATAGCATTAAAACAGTAGAGCTATAATTAGAAACATGTTACTTCACGTTCACAGAAAAAAACATCAACAGAAAACTGCAAACACAAATTAATGATACCAATACACTTCAATTTTTTCATATTTCATGGAAAAATGTTTTATATACATGACTGTGATCATTCTTTGCTAATGTCCATAAGAAAACATAGTGCTTTACTTGTATGGGTATTATCACTGTTCTAACATAGAATGTAGAAGCCATGATCACGTTGCTGGGTTATTTTAATGATGAAGATAGTGGACCTCTTGTACTGTTGACATGCTGCAGTTGGCTGAGCAGGAGACTGCCCCAGTCCAGTATACCTGCCCCCATACCTCCCCCCATACCTGATGAACTTGTGTACTAAGTCAAGTGTTTGTTTACTTACAGAAGCAGGGCAAGTGGTGTGCTGTACATGTGCGCGTGGCCTGGGAGATCTATCACAGACAACAGAAGCAGCCTGACCCTGGCTCCTCCAACAAGTCTGACTCTAAGCCCCTGGAGCCATCGCTCCGCCCACCTGCCCATCTCCTGCCCCCATCCAGACCCACAGATCTGGGACCATCAACACCCACTTCTTTACTAGCTTCTGGTGAGTTTTACACCTGGTTAACAACACTGTAGTAGATGTCCAGTTTTAGAACTTTATATGGCACTGTAATGTCCAGTTTTTTTTTTCAAACATGCATGACCCTGTGATGTCCAGTTTTTTTTCTACTGTATATGACCCTGTAATGTCCAGTTTTTCAACTTTGTATAACCCTGTAATGTCCAGTTTTTCAACTTTGTATAACCCTGTAGTGTCCAGTTTTTCAACTTTGTATAACTCTGTGATGTCTAGTTTTTCAAATTTATATGGCACTGTAATGTCCAGTTTTTCAACTTTGTGTGACACTGTATTGTCCAGTTGTTTTCAACTTTGTATAACACTGTAATGTCCAGTTTTTTTTTCCAACTTTGTGTAACACTGTAATGTCCAGTTTTTCAACTTCGTATGACATTGTTATGTCCAATTTTTCAACTTTATATGACCCTGTAATGTCCAGTTTTTCATCTTTATATGACACAGTTATGTTTGTTGTCCACAGTTGCCCGTAGTGTTCCTGAAGGCATTGTACACCCAAGTAGCAGCTTTTTATCTTCTAATTTAGGTATGTTTATTGGTGGGCCCCTTAATCACATAGAATTATAGTCATTGGTGGACCTCTTGATCACTAGATTAAATTGTCAGTGGTAGACACCTCATCAAACACAAAATACTCGACCAACTCACAATTGAATAAAACTTTATATTTTCAGTGTCTGGTATGTCAGGATTTCCACGACCTTCACCTTATCCTCCCCCATCTCTGCTGAACCCACTGAGTTTTAGTGGACTTGGTAAGGTTTAAAATATCTGTTGTTACTCCTTTAGTGCTCTGACTTCATTTTTTTTTAATCCTTTGATGATGTAAACTGTCTGACATGACACCAGCACACATGGTTTCTGACATGACACAATGAGTGTCTGACATGACACCAGCACACATGGTTTCTGACATGACACAATGAGTGTCTGGCATGACACAATGAGTGTCTGACAGCACACAGGTGTCTGATGTTTGCCATGGGACACCTGTAAACTGAGACCAACATGTACCTGGCCTGTAAAAAGATTCCCACCTGTGTTTCCAGGCAGCAGCATGTTCTCTCCTGTGAGGGACATGGGACCCCCGGGCCTACCCTCAGGCCTCTCATCACCCCATGAGTGGAACAGGCTGCACCGCACCCCTTCATCATTCCCTTCATGGCCCAAGTCTGAGCAGGACAGAGAGAAGGAGAGAGACAAGGAGAGGAAGGACGATGAAAGGTAGGTCTATAGGGATGTCAGGGGGGTTGGTTGATCAGCAGAGGGTTGGCATGAGTGGAGGGTTGGTTCCTTGTTTTCATGTAGCGGAGACCTTACAACCGGTTGTTTTATTTTTTGCAGGGAGAGAAGATCCTTAAATCATCGCCTACCTGGCACAGAGGACCCCAGACATTCAGACCCTTCCCGGCCAAGATCTAGGTCAAGGTCACGGTCACCTTTACGAAATGGCCGCCTAGAGTGTCATGTGAAGCCAGAGATGGGACACTATGACAGGAGACCCCTCTCTGCCTCCTCCTCAGATAGGAGACCCCTCTCTGCCTCATCCTCGGGCATGAAGCTGAAAGAGGAGGAGAATTCTATACCTCACCACATCGTGGAGAGGGAGAAGATGGAGAGAGAGAGGATGGAGAGGGAGAGGATGGAACGGGAAAGACTAGAGAGAGATAGGTTGGAGAGAGACAGGTTGGAGAGGGATAGACTTGAAAGAGACAGGATAGAGAGAGACAGGATGGAGAGGGACAGAATGGAGAAAGAGAAGCTGCTGCAGAATGCGGAGAGGGCGGAGCGGGAGAAAATCTTGCAGGCTGTGGAACAGAGGGAGAAATTTTTACAGAACAGCTACTTGAGCCTGAGTCCATTTCACACTCACCCTGGTCTGTTGGACCGCCGGGTCAGCTTCATGGCACCGCCTGGCTATCCGTTCTTGGACAGGCCCCCTGTCCCCACAACTATGTGGAACCCGTTTGATAAAACTTCACTGGAGATGGCCCATAGGCTGGAGATAGAAAGGGAGAGGGAGCGCATGTCCATGGTGTCCCGCCTCTCCAGTATCCCATCCCATCTGGCTGCTCTGGAGCAGGAGAGGCTGAAGGAGCAGATAGTCAGAGAGCAGCAGGAGAGAGAGTACGACCTGAGGCGCCAGTACCTGGAACGTCTTCCAGCGTTTACGGCGGACCGTCTGCGTGCCGCCGACCCCCTCGCTCTCAGCGGATACTTCCCACGAACAATCAGCCCCATGTTTGGGCCGGGGTCGCTGGCTGGGTTAAAAAGCAACTCCCCACACATGCCCGGGGTGCCGCCCCCCCTGATCCCGTCTAGCTCCTCCACCAGCATGCTGTCATCACGCAGCCATGACAACTCACCCTCGTCCTCCAGCAAGTCTAAAGGCTGCAGCCCAGCTGACAGCACCAGTGATCTCAAAGACAAAGGCAATTCTACTGACCCAGATGCTCATTCTAGATAAAGGATTCCTTGTTCTAATTATGGAATAAACATGACCTTTATAAAGGAATTCCCCCATGACCTATATTAAGGGAATTCCTGTGACCTATAATTAAGGAGTTCCCATGACCTATATTCATAAAAGGATATTTTGATCCCAATACTCAATGAGAAACTGGATATTGAGTGGATTCTATTCTTGAGATTGTCAGCATAATACCAGCTAGTTCATTCCATAGGGTCAGCCTTGGTTTTTACTTAGTGCAATTCTAGTCATTATGTGTCCAATGGTAGTGTGAAAGATTCTCTTGTCAACTGGTGCAGGATTACTGTGTTGTCTACTGGCTGGCATTGTGATATTTAGCTATGGTTGGTACACACTAAGTGTACCATGTGTTCACATTCTTACAGCATCTGTGTACGTGTACAAGTTCATTCTTGTAGTAGACAATGTTTTTTTTTAAATGGTTATGAAAAAAAAAAAATGGAGGATTATTTTATGAAAGAGAAAGCCATTCAGCAGGCACAAGTTTTATTTTTTGTGTCAAGAGTTGTCCCTTATGGCAGTGTGATTAGCTCCCTTTGTTGCAGGGATCACCTTGGCAACCAGGAGCCTGTGATATCTGTTGTCTGATGACTTCTGTAAGGAGAGAGCTTGGCTAGGATTTTTTTTTTTTTGGGCAATATTTATTTGGGAATGTTTTTTTTTTTTTTTTTAACTTTATTTATTTAGATTGCCTGAAGTAAACAAACAGGCAACAATTGTTTTTGTTCTTCCTGGAGTCTATGTTGGTTTTTATTCTTGTAAGGGATGAATGAGATTATCTTACCATTATGTATATAGAATTTCTGATTCCCCCAACCCCCTTAATTTCTTCAGTGTCTTGATGAAATAAATGCTTTTGTCACCCAAGCATTCCCTTGTTTCTTGTTCTACAGACATTTATGTTTTGTTGTGTTTGTTGTTTATATGTTATATGCTACACCATGTAATATGTCGTTATGTGATGTCTCTTTTTTATATTTATAACATTGCATGGTATTTAGTATGTTGAAACAAATATACATAAATACACATTCTTAACATGATTCTGCACTACACCATGTCAATTTGCTTCTATAGCTATTTTCAACTAGTCTAAAACAGAAGTAGGTCAATGAAACTTAGTGTAGGATTTTGTAATGAATTCATAAGACACAATTATCTTTTTTTAGGTTCAATTTTTAAGTTTCATGTTTATAAACATTAGACAGGAGTTTTTTTTTAATTCTAAGGATCCCGACACTGACTAATAGTCTTGACATTATATAGTATTGATATAAGTATTATAAGCTTAGACTGAATAGGATTAATATGTATAGAGCTAAACAGGCAGATTCAGATTTGAGACAGAGCTAGATATATAAATGCATATTATATATATAATTATATATACATAATTATATATATATAATTTATATATATGCCCTGTATATTATTTAAATATACATTATATATATAATTAATATATATAATTTTCATATATATTATTTATAAATATATATATATATAATTTATATATTATATATAATTTATATATTATATATAATTTATATATTATATATAATTTATATATTATATATAATTTATATATTATATATAATTTATATATTATATATAATTTATATATTATATATAATTTATATATTATATATAATTTATATATTATATATAATTTATATATTATATATAATTTATATATTATATATAATTTATATATTATATATAATTTATATATTATATATAATTTATATATTATATATAATTTATATATTACATATAATTTATTATTTATAAATATATTTATTTATTTATTTATTTATTAATATTTATAAATAGTAAACAAGTGTGATTAGTGATGAGGCTGGTAAAATTATTGCACCACTAAGGTCACGTGCACTTAGACCTCAACAGCTGACCTACATACAACCATGATTGGCTGGAGCTTGTAAATTAACTAATTAGCCCAGCAGTTAAACCATCACACCAGGGAGCCACACACTCGATGATCGGCCATGTTTGAATGAGTAAACCCTCCCCCTTATCTAGTGTTTTTAACATCCCCACCCCCCCCCCCCCCTGGGGTTTTAAATTTTACATCCCCTCCCTCATTGTGCTCCTCACCAGTTCTTATCCTCCATGTCGTCTATCCCACCCCACCCCCTCTCTTCTATTATCCTCTTCCTTCATACCACTTCCCCCCCCCCCCTTATTGCTATCGACCACTCGAAAAAAAATCGTGCCAAAGGACTATTGAGACGCGTGCTGGCCTATCATACTTGAGTGTGTGTGTGTGAGTGAGCCGTGTGGGGGAGGGGAGGGCAGTGGAGCCTGACTCACAGCCAGACCAGTGGTGTCACAGCCGCCTTCAGACCGAGTGTTACTTAACCACACATCCAGGTATTACTTCACCTCACATCAAGGTATTACCTAGCCACTTCCAGACATAACCTATCCATATCCAGTTATTAATATTACTAAGCCAAATCTAAGTTTTACCTATCCATATCCAGTTATTACTAAGCCAAATCTAAGTTTTACCTATCCATATCCAGTTATTACTAAGCCAAATCTAAGTTTTACCTATCCATATCCAGGTATTACTTAGCCTCACATCCATGTATAACTTAGCCTCAGACCGATGTGTGACAGCCACACCTAGGTGTAACTTAGCCACACTTAGCCTGCTTTGTTCCCAGCAAATAACCTACCACTCGATAGAACGACTGTTGTGATTTCGTCATCAATCATTTAGTCTAACTAGTCGATCGATAGATCGATGACCGACGCTTGAGTCTCTCCCTCCTTCCATTTTTTTTACACTAGGCCTGACATGGGGCATTGCCTGGTCTGTATACATTATGTGGGCAGATAGGGCATACAGCAAAAGACGGCAGTAAACAGAAACAGGGCAGTACACATGACACAGGGCAGAAGGCAAGACACAGGGCAGTCAGTAGCGTAGGCAAGGGGGGTTAACCCCTCCCTATATATATATATATATATATATATATATATATATATATATATATATATATATATATATATATATATATATATATATATATATGTATATATATATATATATATGTATGTATATATATATATATGTATGTATATATATATATATATATATATGTATATATATATATATATATGTATATATATATATATATATGTATATATATATATATATATATATATATATATATATATATATATATATATATATATATATATATGGAAAATATTTGAACCCCTCCCATGCCCGATTCCTGGCTACGCCGCTGAGGGCATTAGACAGAAACAGGGCAGTAGTATGGGACAAAGGGCATTAGACTATACAAATGGCAGAGGACAGGGCAGAAGGCAGGGCAGTAGAGGACCACACGCCTGATCTCACAGAAAAAAAAACGCCCCCACACATAACACTCAGCCATCCTGGCTTGGTCCCTGTTGACCTGGAAAAACTGAACACGACGGGGGGTGGGGGTGACAAGAGAGGGGGGGGGGGGTGCTGGCCTGCTTCATTCTCTAGTGCGGATTTGCTGTCCAATGGCCGCCGGATCGATTGAAGGGCTTCTACATAACATGATTGGGCCAAAGGGGAGGGAAGAAATGGCTGGCTCCATTTTTTTTTCGCTTTTACATTCACGGGGTAATGATGTGTGGTAGCCTACAACGGTTTGTTTTGTGTGGGGTTAGGCTACACGTGTGGGTGGTAGCCGCATAGCAGGATGTGGTAGCCACACGTCTGGATGTGGTAGCCACATGTCTGGATGTGGTAGCCACATGTCTGGATGTGGTAGCCACATGTCTGGATGTGGTAGCCACATGTCTGGATGTGGTAGCCACACGTCTGGATGTGGTAGCCACACGTCTGGATGTGGTAGCCACATGTCTGGATGTGGTAGCCACATGTCTGGATGTGGTAGCCACATGTCTGGATGTGGTAGCCACACGTCTGGATGTGGTAGCCACACGTCTGGATGTGGTAGCCACATGTCTGGATGTGGTAGCCACATGTCTGGATGTGGTAGCCACATGTCTAGATGTGGTAGCCACACGTATGGATGTGGTAGCTAAATGTGGATGTGGTAGCCACACGTCTGGATGTGGTAGCTAAATGTGGATGTGGTAGCCACACGTCTGGATGTGCTAGCCACACGTTAGGATGTGGTAGCCACATGTCTGGATGTGGTAGCCACATGTCTGGATGTGGTAGCTAAATCTGGATGTGGTAGCCACACGTCTGGATGTGCTAGCCACACGTCAGGATGTGGTAGCCACATGTCTGGATGTGGTAGCCACATGTCTGGATGTGGTAGCTAAATCTGGATGTGGTAGCCACACGTCTGGATGTGCTAGCCACACGTCAGGATGTGGTAGCCACATGTCTGGATGTGGTAGCCACATGTCTGGATGTGGTAGCTAAATCTGGATATGGTAGCCACATGTCTGGATGTGGTAGCCACACGTCTGGATGTGGTAGCCACATATGAGGATGTGGTAGCCACACGTCTGGATGTGGTAGCCACATATGAGGATGTGGTAGCCACATATGAGGATGTGGTAGCCACATATGAGGATGTGGTAGCCACATATGAGGATGTGGTAGCCACATATGAGGATGTGGTAGCCACATATGAGGATGTGGTAGCCACATGTCTGGATGTGGTAGCCACATATGAAGATGTTGTACTGATAATTACTGATATAATAACTGATATTTCAAAACCTGTATCTATCTATAGAACTATAGAATAGGCTACTGATAAAAAAAACCCATATACTTGTAGTGAGGTCATATTTCAACAAAACATCACCATGTCAACATAACTAAACACAGTATCAATATCTCCAACATTTTTAATCTACATTACTTGTTATCAACATATCGGATGAACCACACGCCAAAAATCATGCATCAACTTCACCAGCACAAAAGATAGAAGCAAAACTAAAGCAGCAGATAAATCAGATTTTCCCGCCATTTATTACACGCTGTTTTGTCTGTCAAGAACGTTTAAAATTCTTTCGGTTTTTATTATTTTTTTATTTTGCCTTCACAGGACTATAAAAATAAAAATCTTTCTTCAAACAAGACGAGCCGAACCTACCTGTGTTAGTTGTGTTTTCTTGCTACAGGAGAGTTAGGTTCAAGGAAGTTTTCTTGTTGCGAGAAAGCCGAGTATTAACTGTGAAAACATGAGAACATGTTCCGGCACATGTTCCTGTACAAATCTCTAGCAACGCTGTACAAATGTATAGGTTTACTTGCGATATGGTATGAGTGATCTGGGCGTCGTTTGTTTATCTGTAAAGGGACACTTCGCTGACATAAGTGGTGGTGGTGCGTTTATTGTGTGTGTATGTGTGTGTGTTTATATATGTGTGTGTGTGTGGGGGGGGGTGATTATTTCTAGGTGATCCGGGGTTTTAAAAAAAATATCGACACAATAATTTATGGAGACGTGTTTTTTTTTTTTAATTTTATTTTGATAAACGTACACAAGCATTTTTTGTAATCTTTCTACATTAATTAAAAAAAATATTTTTATAAAAAGCGAAAAATAGCGCAAAACATTTTTTTTGCAATTATTTATTTCATTCCGGCTTTTAATTATAATCTACCCCCCCCCTTTTTTTTTAGAAGACGCACTATCTTATCGTTGAGAAAACAAAACGAATGTTATGTATAATAAGAAAACTGAGCCGATATTAAAGAAGGGTATTGGGTGAAATTTCAAGTGCACCCCCCCCCCCCCAGAGAAAAAAGTCGGAAAGAAGCACTGCTCGGTTTACTCTAACAAAGTGTTTATCAACAAAGGTATCTTGCAACTATTGTGTCCTATACCAAATGTGTCCTATATT